GCCATTTCCCCTCCCTCATACTAAATGTCTCCCTTCTTCTCCTACACCACCCTCCACTATCAACTCACAGAAAGCCCCTACCCCATGTGCAATTTCCCCGAGTATTTGGTGGAGCTGGAGAACGTGGAGCCGCTGCCGCAAGGAGGACGCGTGGGAATTGCACCATGCGCTGTATCGATCGGTGGTGTTGGGCATGTTTCGATTTTCTGGGCCGTACGACGACCACAACATCGCCGAGAACCTGTGGGTGTACTACGTCATCTCGTGGCCCAAGCCGGACAAGGAGGGCACGGTGGCATTATACCCGTTCAGGGAGATCGGGACGGGCAGCCTGGGACTACTAGAGCTCATCCATATCGATTTGATGTCTATCGCGCAAGTGGTCGCCAGCGAAGAAGAGGATCTCCAACTCCGTCTGTGAGCAGCATCGGCTCCGTGATGATCTTACCATGCGGCGGTGATACCGGACTACATCACGCAGGAGGGGGGAAAGGTGGTAAGCATTGCTGATAGGAGGTCGTTGCGGCCTCCCTCATCCTACCCCAAGCTAGTGGCCATGAGGCTCCTCAGGAAGACGCCCAAGAAAAGACTTCGCTAGCCATCACCAGAAGCACAAAGAAGCCGAGTGGGACCCGGAGAAGAGGTGAACCAAGTCGGGCGGGTGCGGAAGCCAGATCCCATTCCAGAGAGCAAGGCGACACCGATCGAGGACCACCGCCGGGGGAAGGGGCGAAAAAAACAAGCAGATTTCGGATACGCGGGAACCCTCCTGAGCCGACACCACAACCGCCGCTCCTTCCCGACCTCAATCATGATGGAGCCGGCCCATCAGCACCAGCGGGAGGAGGAGGAGTGGGAAGAGTACCATATCCTGCACCTGAACCCCCCATCCTCGCAGGACCTTTCCGCTTCCGCCAGCCACCAGACGTGCCCCGGTCATTGACGTTAGCAATTCCTCCGAGCCGGACGGTCCACCCGACGGATGTTGCGTTCATGGTGGAGCCTGCAACCATCAGGCTCGAAGCAATCGAGGGGGCCCCACGTCCTGGAACCATATCTGGAGCCACCATTTGAGTGATGCATCGTGACCAGACTAGCAGGAACGATCATCTACGAGGCTGACCAGCGGCCGAATGTAATGTACCATTTCCTGATCATCGCGGTGCTCAAGAGGGAGTGAAGGCCGTATACCGAGATCCATCTGGTGATGACGGGTCCCGGGTATCGCACAGTACGGCGACGGGTTGTACAAGCTATTGTGGATCTGGCACCACGCGTCTTGGCACACGTACCGGGGGCGTTTCTCTATCCCTCCTTTGTCCAACACCACTTCAATGAGGTGGAGGCGCCTACGACTCCGGCTGAGCTGGCAACCTTTCTTCCTCCTCTTCCTCCCCCTCATAATCCCGAGATCGACCATTTCCTCTGATCTCTTTCTTCTTCCCTCTGTTCTAACTACAAAGGTCGCGCAGCAAAACGTGCCGTTTTCAAAAACAAAAAAAAAAAAAAAACTATAGTCATATACTGATCGGGCCAGGTGACGATCAAGGGGCCGCCCGATCAGGTGTATAATAAAAGGGGAGATCCATAGCGATGCGGGAGGCATCGAAGTAGAATGGGTGATGAACTGGGCCAGCTGACGATGAAGTGGTCGCCCGGATCATCAAGGTAATTAGGAATTTGGGAGGACTATACAGCAGTCGAGAGACTGCTATTTTTCCGGAACCCCCTGTGCATCGCAGATGTGATAAGCCAGGATCCGCACACAGCGGTTTCCCGTACCCCTAAGGGAAAGTCCCACAAAGAGCCCCGAAGTACGGATTCCAAATAATAGGGGAAAGCAGTGTTTCATTTTTCTTTTTCTTTTTCCTTTTTGTTTAAGGGGAGTGGGGGCGGAATAGAAAATGTAATTCAGGTCTAGCATAGCTGGTTAGCGGCCGCGCGAAGAAATTCAAAAAACAGTTGCGACTTAGCGGAAGTAGGACTTTTGAATTTTTGAGAGCGCGGCAGTTTTTGAATTTTTGCGCGCCACGTAAACCTGTTCTCCCGCTCTGCATCCCTGCGCCATCTTCCCTTCTTGCTGTGCATCTCCCTCCTGCATGTGTCTTCGTCTTCCCTCTAAGCGAAGTCCGATCCCCTCCTCCTGTCCCTACAAATGATTGGCTGTATGATTGGGATGGTCGGGGCAATGTGGCGGAAAGCGCACCCCACTTGGACGACCACCCCAATCACGTGGAACATTCGATTTGCCTCCTTCGTCCCTTCTGGAACGTCTGCCCTTCTTCTGTCCTGACCCTCTACACCTCGTGCTTCGCGCAGCCTCTCTTCCGCCTTCCACACTGTAAATTCCCGCAGCCCCTTCCTCTCGCTCTCTTTGATCTCGGCTGCAAGCTGCGTGAGCTATGCGCGAAGCCCGTGGCACCGGAAAGGCTCGACGAGCCCCCTGGTGAGCGGAGTGACGACGGGTGGCGCAGTTAGCGGTAGACTTGGGGTAAGGCGGCCGGAGGGACTGAGCGGTGGTGGAGGATCAAACGCCGACAGTGGCAGGGCCTTGGGTCTATGGTTGCCGGTGGTTTTGACGGATTGGGAACTGAGCGCGGAGCGGCCAGTTGAGAGAATTCCGTATTTTGAAGACGAAGCTTTTCTCCATTGCTGCTTTGTCCCCGTGTGATGTGTGCATGACTCCGAAAGTTGGGCAATCTGTTATGCATGTCGGGTATTAAAGTCTATGGATTTAGAATGTTTCATTGAAAGCTCTATGGGTATGCGTGTGTGTGTGCGTGCGCCTCTGGGCCTGATGAACGAAAGTACCGAGTGTCGATTGCTTGCATGAGGGCATGAATGCACCAGTCCTCCCCGTCTCCCTTTCTGTTTGATTAATTGTGCTAGTGCATGTGACGCGCGTCAACCTCCTTTCGCCGTCTCTCTATATTCCCCACCGGTGCCCAACACCGCGTTGAGGTTGATGATACAGAGAAGAGACGGAGAAAGAGAGCTGGTCGCGACCTTCTTCTGCAGCATCTGTTGATCTTTGCATGTAGTCCGGTTTCGTCTCGACGGACGGACGCGCGGGCCGCAGCCTGAGCTCAGACCTTGTCTCAGGGCGTCGCAGCACGCTTCGCCCTTCCCGATCGCAGACGATGATGGCATATACTGCGATGCAGACGTGCGGAGCTTGCTGCAGCGCACTGAGCCAATCCAGCTTTATAACCTGACCCAGGTGTGCCACATAGGCGGGAGTGGGTTTGTGCTGATTGAGAGATTTGCTTGCCCGCCTTTAATTTTGCCGTACACAGACCTCACAGTGTTGCCCTGGTCCACTGTGCACGCCACCTGGCGACCGCGGTTTAATTGTCACTGGTGTCACCGGGGAGAATCATGCTCGTGGCGACGGTTGGTCCTGGGGTACGAAGGGGCAATTCGATTCCCAGAACTCTCCCTCAACGTGGGCGCGCTCCGCGCCCATTTCCGAACCTGGGTCCCATCGACCTGCCCAACCCCGGTCGAGCCCGTGCTGCGCCGTCCGCACGGACTCGACGAGTCAGATAACGAAGCCTAAACCGGTCTCCGGGGTCCCCGACCCCAAAGGCTGCACGAAACACACGCCTCAGGAAACATAGCTCCGTAGGACGCCGCCATTCGCCCAATGACAGCTCAAGCCCCATCCTGGGCACCTCGGCCTGAAGCAGGAGTCCCCCGTTTCGACCAGGTGGCTCCACCCCCACGGCCAAAAATCATCGGCCACGCCCCTAACTACTCTGATCGGCGTCCGAAGTACGGAACGCTGTGCGGGGCGTGAGGTTGGGCATCACAGCACAGCGACGTGGAGCAGCAGAGGGAGCCTGCGGTACAGGTTGGCCATGAACTGCACGGTGGAGAGGGCAGCAATGCCATGTCTATTGTCGAACATCTAGCACACGACGGGGGAGAAGGCAAGAGTCTTGTCGGACGTGCAGCACGTAACGACATGCATGGGGATACGACGCTCGTGCAGAAACCACTTCCGTAGACGGACTGAAGGCGCCGCCAGGAAAAAATATTTTCCCGACCGTTGCGGACGTCCTCGAGCGCAGGAGACCGCACGATGCCGTCCGAAAACGACAACGTGACCCGATGGAGGCCCACCGCCAACAGTAGCCACTGGGGGCTGTTGGGAGACTACGCAGACGTTGGAGGGTGGCGATGTCTGTGCTGACGCCCTTGGACCACATCTGCACCACCCAAGAACCGAAACTCTCCGTCGACACGTCTTCGCCATTCCACGAATCACAGTTCCTTGAGCTCCAAGGGACCTCACGAGGTCCCTTGGGGATAAGGAGATTTTGGCTGAGGCCACAAGGAATAATCCTTATGGCATTTTCACATCTCTTTTTCAATTTCGTCCACAAGGACAGGTGGAACGAGCGCGTCCTTGTGGATTTCACGTCCCCGAGGAGTGCCTAACGATGCCCTTAGAGAAGTAGGAATAAGGGGTGAAACGGGTGTCAGGTCTGTTACCCCACTGCAGTCCGGGCTCTGCTTGGGCGGAGAGCCTTGCTCAGCTGGGCCCAGTTCGCAGCATAATAAAGACTCGTTTTTTTTTGGGCGGGGGAAGAAAGAAAAACGGGGCAAGTACATTGCAGTAGAAAGAGACGTTCAGAATAGGCAACTTTAGCAGTTCTCGGAATGGAGCAAAAAAAGGTGACCCTAAATCTGCCAAACACAGTTCGGGTAATGACTGGCGCAGTTTTTTTTTGTTTTTTGTTTTCACACACACACAGCCCCTTCTATCCTAGGGGGCACCAGTGCGGTTGCTAATCACCAGCAAACATGCTACAATCAATGAATAGTGGTCCTGAAGATGCCCGTCCATGTCCTGTCCTGACTGGCGCAGTTTTAGACCCCCGTTAAACTTGCACATTTCGAGACTCACATCATGACAAAAGTGTGCCACAGCCACAGTTTCCCCTAAAATAAATTGCAACTCAGAGAATTGGACTGGCGATTCCAGAGGTACGCCAAATTAAATATTTGCTTCATTATCTCCATAACAATAACTCAATCAAATTATTCAAATATGACTGTAACAGGAATCCCAGACTGAATACAAAAAGGCTACAAAATGTATAGGCGGACAGAAAACAGAGCTCACCCTTCGTCCTGGCTCCATGAAGGTGATGAACATGAAAATAACATAAACTGACTATGTCGCTGACTGCAAAACTAAAACAAAATATAGCCCCGTAAGTCCATACGTACAAAAGACACGATCATTTTTTCGTACGTACAAAACACTATGAGACCCATGTTTGGAACAAATAGAATCAGAACAGTAACAAGGTTGACAGAAGAGGATAGTGCATGCGAGTCTGAGCCGCTGAGGGACATACGTCATGCTGCAACATCACGGCTCGTCGTGGGAGTCGCCCAAAAGAATTCCAATTGCCATGTGGAATGAATCAAACGAAAGCGGCAGAGCTGATGCGGTCTCCAAGGTCTGACTTGCAGCAGAGCTGATGCTGTCTCCAAGGTCCGACTTGCAGCAGAGCTGATGCTGTCTCCAAGGTCGGACTTGCGGAGGGCGATCATCTACAAAAGAGCATGTAGTGCCCTCATAAAGGAGTCACACACATACAATCGCCTGAGCCAGTCGTGTTGCAAGTGTCGCCAAAACCGTGAAGAGATGCGCCGCTTCTTTGAAACAAGGACAAATCAGAACCCAAAAGTGACACCCAACGAGACACGCAGAAGATACGGCAGGCAAAAGAAACACTATCCCACCCAAGAACTTGTTACTACCATAACAAGGGCATCTATCAATACTTGACCACCTTGATGTTGTACTCTCTCAGGGATACCCTGCCTTTCCGAGTCATCCAAAAATCTCTCTCTCTCTCTCTCTCTCTCTCTCTCTCTCTCTCTCTCTCTCTCTCTCTCTCTCTCTCTCTCTCTCTCTCTCTCTCTCGTGACACACACACACGCACACGCACGAAATCCAGCAACCGTCCTCCACCTTTCTATAGATCTCCCTTGATTGACATACGCCCACATACAACAGGCAGGTACACCGCTTGTGGGACTCCTTACCCTGTGTCTCCTGATGTGCATTTTCAACGCTCCAACGGAACTTCTTTAGCCGCCTCTCTCTCTCTCTCTCTCTCTCTCTCTCTCTCTCTCTCTCTCTCTCTCTCTCTCTCTCTCTCTCTCTCTCTGCCCTTCCTTTTTTCCACCCGCGTGTTTGTCTGTCTCTACCTACCCTACCCTCTATCTTAGTGTCTGTGTCTATCAGTCTCCGTTAGTCTCTTCCCGCAACTCCTAGTGCTATACCGACATGTCCAACTCCGCCTGTCGTTCTACTCCCTTATTTGGCTGTCGCTCTCAGTTCAATGGCCGCGCACAACCGGAAAGAAAAAAAAAATCGCTCTCCGTGAACTCGTGCATATTAAAACTCGTCCGCCATTAGACTGGCGGCAGAAACATAACACGACACTCTTTCCCTGCTGCTTATTATCAGCACACACGCCTACGTTTGAGAAAACTGCACTTTTCGTACAAACAAGGGTTGAGGGGGAGCGTGCTCCAGCCGAAGAGTTGGAGCAGGAAACGACGCCCCAACAACAACAAACGGCCCGTTCCCTTCTCCCTCCGTACCTTATTCCACCCTGGAAGAAATGACATACTTGGTTGCAGCAGTTGGTTGCATCCTCTGACTCCACAGCAGAAGACAGTGTCTGTCCGTGACTTGACAAAAAGACGAATCATACATACCCATGCATAATAATGAATTAAACAATCATCAAAGAATTTTATCCCTAAATCGACCCATCCCTTGCGAGCCAAACTTCAATCCTCCCATCTTCATCTTCAGCTTCATCTTCATCTTCATCTTCATCCGTCGTCCATCCTCACAAGGTTAATGTTCAGATTACAACACGAAGGGTGCATTGCCCACCACCTCCTCTTTCGGTCGCAAACGCGCAATGAGCGGTTCATAGTGGTCTCCTCCGCCCCCACACCAGCCCGTGCCTTTCATTAGGAGAAACACCGGCTGCCGAAACTTACCCTTGACCCTCCTTGGACGATGGGGCAAGAAGAAGAGGCAAGCCTCCTCCATCATGGCATCCGACCCATGCGCTTGCACGACGAAGATCTCCCTCTCGTACTCCGTCGCCAGACTCTCGATGGCTATATCGTCGCCAAAGGCTGCCGCTCTCCCTCGCCGGTTCTCGTCCACACTCAACAACCCTTCCTCCGTGTACTGCAGAGTGATGATGTCGTGCTCGTCCGTCGGTTGGCCTGACACCGACATGTACTTCACCCAGCTGTAACCTTCGTTCACACACAAGCACCTCTCCTTGTACACCGACTCCGCCGCCCTGTCCCTCGTCATGCCCACGGAAACCAGCTCCTCGATCGCCTCATCCATCTCCTCCCTTTCCGATTTCTTGGCCAGCAACTTCACATCTTGCACAACGTGCACACCCCACCCGGTCGTCAGATCCGGCGAGTACAAGTGGCTGATCATAGTGTCCGCCGCGTCCTTATCGATTTCATCCGACTCGTAATCCAGCAAGAAGCGCTGCACCGTGCGCTCTCGGACTTCGGATGCGGAGGCTTCCACACCCATTGCCTTCTGCGAAGCTGTGAACAAGCAATTCCCGTCCGCCTCCACCTCTCCCCCGTAATGCAACGTGAAGATCAGGGTAAGAGGAGCTTCGGGGTGTTTCCACTGGACCCCAGAGGTGGCGACGAAATGAAGCTGCTGAACCTGACCGGCTTCGAGCCCAGGTACAGACTGCCAACTCATTTCCGGAATGCTGTCCAGCACCGAGGCCGGAGAACGAAGGACGTCGCTCTGCTGGCTCTCCGCGGCGGCCGAAAAGTCCGACCCGGCCTTGTCTCTGTCGATAACGAGTCCCGCCGGCTGCGGAAATGCCACCGGCAGCACGTGCCCTCCTCCACCGATTCGAGATTCGACACTACAGCTCGATACCGGTGATTGCGCCTTGAGAACTGGGTGGTGATGATGATGCTGAGCATTAAGCGCCTCCATGGTCGACACGTTATCTAGCATAACGGATCCGGCCGTCGACGTGGCAGTCCCTCCTTCCCACTGCATGTTTCCCATGGCGACGGGCCAAAAAAAAATGCGCAACAACAGCCCCTACTTGTTGGCGTCCAGGCCTAAATAATATTACCGCACATCCACGTCCTTTCTTTCTTTCTTTCTTTCCCTCTTCGCTCCCCTACCCAGAGCACCTGCCTTTTCTGCCTCGATCCCAACACACTCCCAACCAATTCCTCACTCCTCCTAGGTTCCTCTCTCTCTCCTCCTACTCTCTAAACAGGACAACTGCTACCGTGTTCCTTACCACCCCTAACCGACCACAAAAAAGGATTCATGAAAAGATTAGCAGTATTTCGCCATTGCAGGCCCCAGCAGTCACACGCTCGGCGGCGGCTTCCCGCCCACCACGCACCCACCTCGGCAGGGTTCAATCTTCTGCTCTTCCAGTCCGCCGCCCTGCCTTTTCTCCACGGCCCGACCTCGTTCCTTCCAGCCGCAGCAGGTGGAACAGTGCCTCTGTAGCTCTCCGTTGCCTTTCGTCTTTCTCAGCCACGTGTATACAGCGCAAGAGCCAGCGTTCTTCCGCCAGTACCCCCTCCCTTACCGCCAAAATATAGCTTCCCGCCACCGAGATGTAGTACTCCCGCCAATATATAGCCTTCCCGCCACCGAAATATATATACTATCCCACCAAGAGCGAGTTCGACAGTCGGTCTCTTCGAAAGCTGTCTGCCACGTTAGTGCAAATTCAATAGCCGCAAGGTGCGTCGTTCTGCTACCCCTCTACCACCCCCTCTTCCCCCGGCTCTCGCGTAAATCCAGTCGAGTATCCGGCGCCCCCAACTGCCTCCCTCTGCTCTCCTACCCCTGCATCCAAAATGAAACGGCCGCGCGCACCTCCCTGGCTCACCTTGCCCTTTTCCGTTCAGGTGCCAATCGAAAGCAAAAAGCAAAACAGAAATCATCAGCCATGGACAACATCAGCGATGATCAGGAACAGCCTTTTTCCTTCAAAACATAAACAAGTTATTTAGTATTTTCTGTTCGGTGTACGCCTTAACAATCGCGCTCCCCAATGGGGGGTTCCAGTTTATGTTGTTCTCTTACACAGCCAGAGTCCCAACACGAAGAAAAGAGCGCATAGAGGCGGCAAAAGAACAAAAGAACTACCGATGGGCCTAGCTCAGTTGGTACACCCATGAACACACCCATGAACCTGGTCAAATACAGACCCTAGTTCGAATCCAGCCAGAGACTATCATCAGATAAACAGAATAAAAACATACCGTAATACTGAATTACCGAGGACGGGTCAGCTCAATGATGATGATATCTCACGGGTGCAGGGTGCGTAACGATGACACAACCTTTGTTCATGTAGTAATAGCCGCAGCGAAACACTGACACGACCAACAGTGTCCAGGTGCAGCAGCCATATCCGTCTGATAACGTAGCCACACTGCTTTAGTGCAATCTCTACAGCGGTTACGGCGTGAAAGAAAGGTGATACCTCAAGGCAGTCACCCGTTTGATTGAAAAAAGAAAAACAAACACGAGAGGGCAAAAACGAGAGAAGCACATAGGTAGAGGTAGCCCTAGAACAACCGAACCACAAAAATGGAACGCGCGCTGATGACTGCGGCACCCCCGTCCGAATGTAGCCGAGGGAGAGGCGGCCGGGTACGTTCCCGTGTACACATCCAGATGCATTGACCTGCGGGCACCAACGCCCTCACAGTGTTCCCTAGGCCCACCAAGATCTCTCTCCTCTCCACAAAAGAGGTATCTTTGTCTCATGCAAGGCCCTCAAGGAGTGCACGTGTAATTGAGCAAGAACGCCCCCCCCCCCCCTCCTCAATCAACCCTCTCTTCCACCCACACGACCGCCGCATTCAAAGAGCCAGCACATGAATTCGTCTGCCAACAGCGCACGCTGCTATACGGTGTCACCGCAACGACATAAACAAAGAAACTGGGACAATGTCGGTCTGTGGAGACTGCGCACCAGCACATGAACGCAAAATGGATCAACCGTTCACCCTCTCCTCCGCCTCCCTGCTTCCCTCCCATCCTCTGCCTCTCTCTCTCTCTCTCTCTCTCTCTCTCTCTCTCTCTCTCTCTCTCTCTCTCTCTCTCTC